ATAGCAAGTTTAATTTAGAGTGAAAAATAACATCACACATGCACATGCAGTATTGCTTAAAAGCTGACAACGTAGAATTTAACACCAGTAACAAAAACAGGCTTAGATGTTTTTGATGAAAAATACCCTACTTCAGTATCAATAGTGACCCCTATTTTATTTATTTATATATTTTTTAAAGTCTTTAAACCTGATACTTAACTCCACCAATGAAATATTATGCAATATGTTGATCATGCTGTTTTTAAATTTCAACTCAACTGAGGAAGCTTTGTTAAAAAGAATCACTATATCCCAGGGGAATCAGGAAATTAAACTTTATTTATTGGGCTTTGACTTGCCCATAAGTAGATGCAGCCATGTACCATCTGATTACCATCTGAGGGGATGCACAGCTTGAAAAAAAGCACTACCAGTGTGCCACTGGGCCATTGATTAATTAAGCAATAAGATGAGAAGGTCTGTCGCATAGGGTCATTAATGTGTGCCTAAAATGCCATTTGGGGCATGAATGTCTGGTTAGTATTATAGAGCCTGATCCCACAAGAATTTACATCTGAGCACAGTATTTGATACTTCTGTTGGTCTCTCTGCATAGCAGCCGCTGCCATTTGTAGGTATCTACTGGACAATCTAAACACAATATTTTTGGGGTGAAGGGGTGAGAGAGGGAGAGCACATGTTCATTTTAAATTAAAAACCCACTTCCACTTAAAAATAGCATTGAGTTACAAAATTTGACTCTCCTTCCACAGAACATTGAAAGGGATCCTAAGAACATATACACAGTCACAGTTTCTTAAAATAGTACACTGACAGGCAACTAGGTCTCTAATGTAGCTTTAAATACTCCATAGCAAGTCTATCCACAGAGAAAGAAAAGCTGGTAACAGAAGTCTAGGAGTCAGGTGTCCTCCATCTTACAGTCATTTATTGTTACAGGAGTAGTGCTGCAGGATCATCATATCACTATTGCTAGACATCCCACAGCAAATTAAAAAAAATAAATGTATTCCCCAGATTCTTCTGAGTCTTTGATCTCATTCAGGTAGTCTGGAAAAAATGACCCCTCTACATCCCTTCTGTCAGAGCTGTTAGCTTTCACATGAAATAGTTAAACATTGGACTTGAAAGCACAGGGTTTTCTCAAGTTCAGTGGTCTGGGCACTCACCTGTGAGCAGGCAGACCCGAGTTTCAGTCCTTGCCTCAGTTAATGTTTACTTGAAATTTAAAAGCCATACAATGACCCTGACCCAGGCAACCCCCTCCTCTCTGCTGGATGTAGGCAAGGATAAAACAAGAAGTTTGAGATGAGGCAGCTCTACCTAGTCCTTTCTCACTCCAGAGTGGAACAGGTCTCCCTACTTGCCATCTACTACTCATTAGATAAAGTAGCAGCAGGAGGGGGAGGTTTCAGAAAATAATAATAATAATAAATATTAGCAGACTGTGATTTAAAACAGAAATGCCTAACCCAAAATTTCTACTTAATTTCAGAAATTTCATGTCAGCCACCACAGCCACTTTAATCAACATAAGTGTTTCTATTAGATACTATCTTATACTCTCAGTTCAACATTAACACCATCACAGTTATACCAGTATTTTCCTCAGCTAGGGAAAAATTAAACCAGTAGAAGAACATTTACAGAAGCTCAGTATTACCCACACCCAAACTACGTCACTGGAAATACATCAGAATCAGTTTGGGGTTTAGGCAGCTCTCCAATACTATTGCTACTGTGTAGCTGCCTAGCCCAGGGAAGTAAACAGGCTCATCTTCAGCACAATGTTTCTATCAAGTTACTTCACTCAGATTAACCTTGAGAGTACACACTAAGAAACAACATTTCAGCTACACGGACTGATTCAATTATGAACAGAGAGCGATTAGATTAGCAGCAGATGACTTGGAAGTCAAGCTGCTGCATCCCCATTGAATTTCTAGCTCCACAAGCAGCAGCAATCCCCTTTCCACCCATCCCTCCTCAGGCAGTTCAGGCTTCAAGCATCTCTTTAAGCTTCTTTAGACACCAAGAAAACAAAAGGCAAAAATTTAAATCTTGCCTCCTATCATACCAAACCTAATCTGCTATCACACAACATCAATAGTTTCTTTATCCAGGTCAAAATTATTATTAGCAGCATCTCATAGATCACAATATTTTGTAAATGCAACAGCTGTAAAAGCTGACATTTAACTTACCAGAGTCCAAGAGTCAGCAGCTTTGAGCAAGACCATTTTCTCAGCGCTAGTTATCAGTAACTAGGGAAGAAGAAAAGGAAAAAAACCCCAACAAACACACTTTAAACAAGTGGACACAACTATGCAAACACAAGCATAAGACTATTCCTATGCAGGTGACCTGATACAAATTGAGAAGCAAGCTGCCTTCAACCCAGGCAGGAGCAGTTAAGTGCAACAGTTGCTGCTCTTCAGCTCAGCCATATTAATCACCAGCCTCAGCCTGTGGCTGGGCTCAGCTGACAAGTATTAACTTTTTAAATCAAAGGAAGTTGCAGCCATCTGCCCATCCCCTTGGTCTTTACATTCTGTGAATTTAGCTAACTCATTGAAAACACTTGAAATACACTTTTTCAGAAAGCTGTACAGACAGTCCCCAAGTTGGTGTAGGCTCTGGAGAAAAAATAGAGGGCAACAAGAGATGCTCATTCCAAAGGTTTATAGCACCAACCCTGCTGTTTCTGTTAAGAGGTTTTGGCTGTGTTCAAATTGTTGACAATACTATTCAAGGCAATTTTGCCACAACCCTGCTTGGGTTGTTTTGTTTTGCTTTGTTTTAAATAGAACAAGGTACCACGATGTCCATCGTTATCAGCACCACCGAGAGCACAAGCTCTACTCCTCCAGAGCAGTTGTTATGCTCATTTTGCTAAACCTACCCACACCCATCTGATCCTAATTAACTACCACTTCCCTACA